CCCCATGGGGCTGGAGCACACAAAATCTACTAGGCTGGGCCCCCCCCTCCCCCGGCTCTGGTGTGTGAGGGAAATGTGGGGAGTGTCTTTCTCCTTATACGGAGGCCACGGGAAGGGAGGGGGGGTTCCGCTTCTCACTTGTGTGCAGCCCCCCGACTGATTGTTCTGTGGGTCAGCGGCCCCCAACTCAAAAGAGGTTCCCTGCCTCTGCTCTAGATCTCGCTTGTTCCAAGGATGCTTGGGACTTTGCACCACTGCAAAATCCAGAGCCGCTCTTTGGACACCGACGGGGGAGCCCTTTGCAGAAGGCTGCCCACAAATAAAGCCAAGGGGCTGCCGCCACTGATGCTAGTTCAGCCTCCTCCCCCCCCCCGCCTCCCGATTGTGCTGTGTCAGTGGCAGCAGAATCAGGACCTTAGAAGTTCAGAGAGGAGCAAAGAAAGCAGGGCAGACTGAGGAGTGGGCAGACGTTACAGTCACTAACCTGAGCGGCTGGATAGCTAGTACGGGGACGTGCCCACTGCCCACAGTATCCAAGGAGGGAAGGAATTGTTCTGAGCCCACTAGGAATTAGTAGGGCAGCCGTGGGCTGATTAGCAGGAGAAACCTCCCGGCCATAGCCACCCGAGGGGGAAGGCATGAGAGCAGAGTTCCCTGTAAGCTGAGTGCTTGGACAGAGAGATTCTGGTGCCACCCAGTTGATTAACAGAGCGCTCACGGCCGGCAGCATGAGTTCCTATGGGTGGTGCACATCTGCACTTGCCTTGGTGCACAGAACAAAATTTATCCTGCTCACAGGTGGAAAAAGTTAGAGCTTCACTGAGTCGCTTCAGACTAGGCAGGACAGAACAGTGAAGAACGGGCTGCAGGGAGCAATCCTGCAACTCCCCCGCCTGTGTCTTTACTCGTAGACCAAAGGAGCAATGTGATTGGCCGATGGGGATTTGTAGCAGGGTAGTCATGGGCACAGCTGGGGCAAACCATGCTCTGAAATGGTCAGTGCTGCTCTTGCAGGTATGTGGCAGTTACAATGTTCCACTCGCTCTTAGGGAAAGGGAGCTAGAGGCTTTCGTTCTTGGACCTGGATAACTGCCTGTTCTTTATCATTGCCTCTGTATGCGTTAGGGTAACCGGCTGTGCCGATTTGATAGGGACAACCCAGGGCTTTTTCTTATATAGACACCTATTACGCCTCGCCCCTCTTCCCATTTTTCACACTGACTATCTGGTCACCCTGATATGCAAAGAAGATCCCACCAATATCAAGGCAGCAGCGATTGAACGTGGCTTGAGCCAAACAAGGCTGTAATGTGGCTCTCTGGCCAGTATAGACAAAGCCAAGTAACACGGTTAAATCCTGCCGTAGGCTTTGTCTGCACAGTTTTTAACTATTTGCGTCTCAGTTGTGCTGCGCTGTGTGCTGGGAGCACGCTGCTCAATTGCAGCTGATCTGCTTGTGTCGATGGGGCCTAAAGCCTTTGGCATTTCCTCCCCTAAGCCTGAGCCACGGTGAGTATGTGGGGAGCCTGAGGTCGAGAGGGCAGAAAAGAGCCGGTGGGGTAACCCTGCATGTGTCGTTCCCCAGAGCTGCATCGTGACGCATGAATCGAACGGCATTGACATCATCACGGCCCTGATCCTCAATGAGATCAGCCCCCTCTGCAAGTACCGAATGGACCTCGTCCTCCAGCTCAAGGTTGGTGAGGCAGCCAGGAGGAGGTGTGTGAGGCCAGGGGTATCTCGTGTGTGTGGGTCCTGAAGAGGATTTATGTAAGGGAAGGTGTCTGGCCTATTGTCAAGGTGAATGCAGAAGTGGGGGCCCACAAGAGCACTCCAAAACCTTGCCTTTACAGGCTCTGGTACAAAAACTTCCCCCCAAAATCCTAATACCTGGATTTTGGGGAATCCACTGCCACCACCCACATAATTGCAAGAAAACCAGGGAAGAGATCACCTGGGAAACCTCCTTCCAAAGGTAAAACTCTCCCCTGCCCCAACCTCCATTTTACTTGGAGCTGGGAAAAACAGAGGGGATTTACAGACAACAATGGACTCTGCCCTTATTACTAGACACTGAGTCAAAGGACACAACAATCAACCAATTTTGGTTAATTAGAAAAAAGAAACAAACTTTTATTATCAAAACAAACTACAGTTGCAAGTATAGTAAAGTGGCTAGATGAGAAGAGCCACTAATTGATCTAGGTACTCGGAGGGCCCCTCGGGGATGGGGAGGGGAGGTCCGTCTCCAGCGCATGGACTCTGTAGCAGTGTGGTTTGGTGGGCTCCATCATGTACCTCTCTAGAGTGGGTGGGAGCATGGCTGGGTCTCCAGTCTCGGGGAGCTGTGGGCAGTGCTTCGGTGTGGCATGTTCTCAGGCCTCTAGAGGTAGAGGGTGCCCGTGGCTCTGGTTTACCTAAGTGGATGTTTTTTCGCCAGGACAATGCCTCCAAACTCCTGCTGGCCCTGATGGAGAGCAGGCACGACAGTGAGACTGCCGAGCGGATACTCATCAGCCTCCGGCCTCAGCAACTGGT